GAGCGGATCGCGAGCCACGGCCTCCATGAAAATGTATCGAGCGGTTCGTGTCGAATGTACGCGATTTCTTGCTTCGATTATTCCTAAAACTGCGGCAGAAATTGAATTCTCAGGTAATCAAGCAATACAAATGCAAATACCGGCTACGGGGAATGGAAGCTTCGAATCGTCGCGTTACCGCTGTTTCGCATTTCGAAATATTCCGCATAAATAAACAATTGACAGCTTCGAATTACATCCATTTAGAATATCGATCGATGAACGTGTTGTCGTTGAACCGACCGCGTTAATAATGCACGGTCTTAATGCACAGAGAACCGGTTGCAGATGCACACGTATCGTTCAGTGTTTTTCCCCTCTCGATTCCCGACGTTTCTCGCGATATCTCGCTAATTTCCCGACGACATCGATTGTTTATCAGAAAGAACCGTCCCAACGACGTATCCGATCACAGTCGACAGAAACGCGAGCCAACTCGTCGGACGCTCGCGTGCGCGTCTTCGATCGGTGTGTTTCAACGTACCTCGCCATTTTCACTACATTTCGATAAATTCTACCATTTTACAGTCTTATACGCGGTACACTTACGTCGGATTTCGGCTCTCACGTTCACCCCGATTCGCTAATCAAAGCGACAATTTGTAACGCTTCGAAACGGTATCGGCTAATTTGTCAACGTGAAAGGTAATAACGCTTCCTGTTGTATTATGCATCACGCACGATCGTCTGTTGACAGGCTGATGACCGCGTTCGAAAAGAGGACATCGCGTGTGATATTCCGCGAAATTTCAAACTTCTCGATTATTCGAACTTGTGTGACCGCCATTCGAAAATTTTTAATTTTCAGAACTCATCAAATTTCTACCCATAATAGTATTCTAACTGTTCTGTGATCACTAACTTTTCGTACAGAACTGACCTGATCGAGTAACAGACTAATACAGAATTTCGGATTGAACAGATTTTAGTTTATAGAGTAGATTATAGCAGGATATGCCTTGTTTGTGTATTATAAAGAGGGATTGAAAGGTCAACAAAATTATTTATAATGTGCAGTTTATATAGAAGTAGTAGATGCTCGAAGTAATTCATACGTCAATCAAAGATGGCTGCCGCGATCCTGAAAATGTTCATTACGTCAACGTCGAAGTGCTTCTCTAATACATCACTACATAACGAATCTAATACATCACTACATCATTACACGATGTTGTGTGTCGAGATAAATTTAGAGGTTTTACAAATTGTCAGAATTGGGTACCGTGTAGAATGCAGGCAACGCAGCCACGTAGCACGGAAACTTCTTTCCCCCGTTTTCTTTCGCGCAAACGTTGCGTAACAATCGTTTCGGTTTATTCGCCGGCAATGCGTCAAACTTTGCCGTTCGTCCCGAGGTTGGATAAGCCCGGTGCGGCGTGCCGTATTTGCTCGGCTGTTCTCGCCCAGGGGGAAACTTGGAAATTTATTCCCGGGGAAATTCGCTCGCGTTTTGAATTTTTAGTAGGCTGTGGCCAACTTCTTTCCGCGACGCGACCCGCCTCGCTTCGTCGCGCTTAAACGACCCGCTAGAAAGCGATTCTTCGCGTCGATCGAACGGGAACAAAACCTGGCGGAAATTGTTCCTGTTACCGGGGCGCGTCTTCCCCGTTTGTTCGCCTCCGCGAACTCTCCCCGAGTTACCCGACGTAATCGCGACGACTTTTTCGCGCCGTCGTTAGTTTCCCTTCGCGTTAAACTCGCGACTGAAAGTTACACTTTTAGATCGAGAGTCGAGCGATTCACGACTTCGCGCCAGCTCGCGACGACACCGGTAACTGGACCAACTTTGCCAACTTTCGTTTGAATCGTATTAAACGAATCCCGGCAAACGACGTTATCGGCGCGTCGCTCGAGTGAAATGTCGTGTTTGGCCTGGTAATGTCATTGACGTGTTACGCGTACACTGGTAACCGGCCCTCGTGAATCGCACAAAAGCCGCTTCGAACACGCCTTTGCGGAAGGTGAACGCTTTCACGCGTCCGACGAAGACGCTGTTTCCGTTTTGTTGTCGCCACGAAATTTCCACCTCCGAACTTTTGTCTTTTACCAGAGATATCCGCCATACAAGTACACTCCACAATACAAGAAACTTCTAACTCAACATTGAAGTCTCTAACTCAACATTGAAGCTTTATTGTGTGCCAAAAATTTGAAAGTCGATAACGTTCTAATACTGGTCACTTTGGATACGAAACTCTAGTGACAAGTTTTTCGATAAATTATGACAGGTGTAAATTCGATTTTGTGCACGTATTAAACCTCTTTTCAGATCGTCTCTCTTTACAGCTCGTCGCTGGCATCTAAGCTATGAATAATAGTCAATCCAATACAACGACGTAAGTAACTTAAAGTGAACGAGATACCATAATCCTGTATTTTCGAAAAATAACGATATTCGGTGAAAGTTTCGAGTTGAAACATCGCGACGCCCCGCCAACGATAAGCCCATCGTCAGAGGCTGATGGAAAAGACTGTCTCTCGTCGCCTCGAGGAAGAATGTCGCATCTACGAAGGCAGAGCATGTCGTTGACTGCCGTTATGAACCATCGACGAGGTCTTCTCGGGTAATGTCAGTTTCCTAATTTTCCCTCGTGATTTTCCGTTGGTGCGCGACACACGCGCGATTTACCGGGGGTTAATAACGTACCGGAGTTAAAAGGTCTCGCGTGTGGTCAACGTTCGCGTCGATCGAACGGGAACAAAACCTGGCGGAAATTGTTCCTGTTACCGGGGCGCGTCTTCCCCGTTTGTTCGCCTCCGCGAACTCTCCCCGAGTTACCCGACGTAATCGCGACGACTTTTTCGCGCCGTCGTTAGTTTCCCTTCGCGTTAAACTCGCGACTGAAAGTTACACTTTTAGATCGAGAGTCGAGCGATTCACGACTTCGCGCCAGCTCGCGACGACACCGGTAACTGGACCAACTTTGCCAACTTTCGTTTGAATCGTATTAAACGAATCCCGGCAAACGACGTTATCGGCGCGTCGCTCGAGTGAAATGTCGTGTTTGGCCTGGTAATGTCATTGACGTGTTACGCGTACACTGGTAACCGGCCCTCGTGAATCGCACAAAAGCCGCTTCGAACACGCCTTTGCGGAAGGTGAACGCTTTCACGCGTCCGACGAAGACGCTGTTTCCGTTTTGTTGTCGCCACGAAATTTCCACCTCCGAACTTTTGTCTTTTACCAGAGATATCCGCCATACAAGTACACTCCACAATACAAGAAACTTCTAACTCAACATTGAAGTCTCTAACTCAACATTGAAGCTTTATTGTGTGCCAAAAATTTGAAAGTCGATAACGTTCTAATACTGGTCACTTTGGATACGAAACTCTAGTGACAAGTTTTTCGATAAATTATGACAGGTGTAAATTCGATTTTGTGCACGTATTAAACCTCTTTTCAGATCGTCTCTCTTTACAGCTCGTCGCTGGCATCTAAGCTATGAATAATAGTCAATCCAATACAACGACGTAAGTAACTTAAAGTGAACGAGATACCATAATCCTGTATTTTCGAAAAATAACGATATTCGGTGAAAGTTTCGAGTTGAAACATCGCGACGCCCCGCCAACGATAAGCCCATCGTCAGAGGCTGATGGAAAAGACTGTCTCTCGTCGCCTCGAGGAAGAATGTCGCATCTACGAAGGCAGAGCATGTCGTTGACTGCCGTTATGAACCATCGACGAGGTCTTCTCGGGTAATGTCAGTTTCCTAATTTTCCCTCGTGATTTTCCGTTGGTGCGCGACACACGCGCGATTTACCGGGGGTTAATAACGTACCGGAGTTAAAAGGTCTCGCGTGTGGTCAACGCGAAACGCTGCAGCGCAAAAACCGTATAATTTCACAATCATTGAATTCAGTTTTCGACGTGAAATATTTTCGACGCGACGCTCCAACGGATTCGTTTCAATTTATACGGGCGGGAGTATCGACGCGAGAGCTACGCTGGACACGGTTAAATGCTCCCGATGTGTATTCTAAACGCGTAAATGATATCGATATACTTTTTAAGCACCCGAATAAACAGAGAGGAACATTAAATGCAGATTGATCGAGTCAGTTTATTCTCGTCGATAGAGCGCTGATTTCAGGTATCGGCAGCAACATGTCGTTGCCTTCCTGCCTTCCTCAGGAGCAGGAGTTGACAGCAGCACAAAATGGCGCAGCGAGGACCGTGCTGAACAATCATCAAGAGAAAAACGATCTCGAGGTCCACAGACACCGACCGAATCTCCTGCAATTGACCCCTGTCAACGCCGTTTGCGTTCCTATGCACTTAGACCCAGCCAAAAGTGAGTCACCTGCTAACGAAAGCGCACGTTGCGTCGGAAAGGTATTAACTTTTAATTCGCAGCTAAACAACAGATGATCGATCAACAAATGAAGCCCATGGAGAGGAGAAAATGTCATCGGGAAATGGTGTCGATCATGAGCACCCTCTACGCGAAATTGCTGATCGTAATTGGAATCGCTGTGCCCGTCACGGCCAGCGTTACCGAAAGGGTTCCGGCTTCTTTGAACCAGGTCTGTGACGAAAGACGCTCGTTAATATTTACTCGCACAGCTTTCGCCAGCTTATTCCGCCCGGGTTGTTCAAAGTGGAAAATCACGTTTGTCTGTTTAGGGATTTTACTTGTACCTCTATTTGACCAGTGTCGCTTACGTGATCGCGATGTACGTTATCGTGCTGAGGGATAAGACCTTGAAGAATCTCATGCAGAAAAACGAGAAGGAACAGCAGACTTTCACGTTCGACGAGAAGGGTGATCCCGTGAATACGAATCAGGTAAAAGTGTGTTGGAGTGGGAAGATGAGGTAGAGTTTAGGGAAATTTATAGAAATTTTGAGGTATAAGGACATATGTATGTATGTGAGGGTGTAGAGATTTGAGGATGTAAGGATCTAGAAATATATGTAGAAATCTGAGAGCATATAGTTCTGAAGATATAGCTTCTGAAGGTGTACAGAATTAATTTATGAAAAATTAAGGATATGAGATCTAAAGACAAAGAATCTGAGAACGTATGAACATAGAGCTCTAAACATATATGTATGTAGAAATCTGAGAGCATAGAATACTGAAGACAAAATCAAAGAATACATAGATCTGAAATCTTTGATCTATGAATATAAATATCTAAAAATAAGCTAAAGTAGTAAAATAATAAAACTGTAAAGTAGTATAGAATATAATGGCTTCTGCTCTCAAACATCAAAGAATGACTCGCGTACATCGAATCAGAAGCCAATTACTTGTAGCGGAATAATTTGCAGAGAACATTTTCCATCGAGCATGTTGATTCGCGATTTTTTAATTAGCACGGTGAAATCCATCGTAGCGACACGTACAATGAAATCTTTGTTTCTCAGATGCAACAATACGGGAGCTTTTGTCTGAGACTCGGCGCGGTGGGATTTGGCGCCGGCTCGCTGGTATTTACAGGATTGCAAATTGGGGCGGAAATAGCTTCCGGCCCGTTCAGGGCGATTACACCGGGTGCCAGGTTGCTGTTGGTCACGGCCCAGATGCACTTCATATTTCTCAACAGTAAAAGTCTCTGTCTGGCCAAGCACGATGCTCTCGCGAAATTAGGCCTGATGCACATGATCGCGACCAACCTCTGCGAATGGCTACAGGTAGCTTTCTAAATTAAATCGTTTTTGTGCCTTAAATAACGTCGACTCGGAAATATCATCGCCGCAATTTCCACGATCTTCATAATTTCAACGCGGTGTCGATTAACCGCGACCAGCATTTATCAAAGTCAAACGCGATATTTGATATCCATGTCCGTGCAAGCGTATCCCGTTGGAAAGAGACTCGTGTCCTGTTTTCCGGGGTAATCGAAGTAGCCGCTTATCAACGCTCCCGTCCCAGGCGCGACGTCAAGCTTTTGATCTGGCGATGCCGCGACGAACATTAACCATAATTTCACGCAGCCACTCGGCTTTGAATTTTCCACGTTCGAACTCTTTCGAAGGCTCTCGTCGAGGAGACGCAGCACGAGATCGACCAACTTGGCAACACGCACGACGACGAGGACGGAATACTGACGTCCCTTCTGAGGGACGCCAGCCCGTTTCTTTTCCCGTGCACAATCGAATTCAGTTTAATTTGTGCGGTGATACTGTTCGAGATGTGGAAGAGGGTGGACGAGACGATCGATTCAAAGAGCGAGAATCCGACCAGGTCTTCGTATCATCTTAGCATCGATTGCAGTAGCTCTCACAGGTTCGGACGGGAGTTTAATCGAACAGAACCGTCGCTAATTTGTTAATGCAACCTTAAACATTTTCAGAGGTCTCTTCGGCGGGATACTGGTCGTCGCCGCAACCATACTTAGCCTGATCATGTTCTTCGTGTTAAGAGAAGCCAAAAACGAAATAGCGATCGTTCAGGTGACCGCGTTGGATGCGACGATACTCATGTTAGGTAAGGCAACATGAAGGTTGCGAACGTCAATTTTATGTTATATATCTTCAGTCACAATGTCAACGTTAGCGACATTTTACTTACACAAAATTTATAACTTATGTGTAACACAATATTACACTGCGATGTCCCTTGCAGCGTCTATCATTTCATCCGCCGTGCAACTACAATTTGAAACATAATAAAAATTGCGCACTGTACACTCAAAATTAAAAAAGTGATCAAATTCTAGGAATGGTCGCTTCCGTAGCTGGAACTCTGAAGCTGCAAGCATTGCAGCAGAAGATCCTCAAACAGTCGGATCTGGATACAACTTTGTTAGCTGCAGCTCAAGCCGGAGTCTACCTGCATTGTCTATTTGGAGTTGTAGGTGATGTTCTAACTATGGGTCCAACTTGGGTACTATCTCTGATCACGGATTTATTAGCCCTGATACAGAGCACCAGCCAGACCTTGCTGATCAAAGTAAGCATCATCACTGATTTACAATAACAATTCGAATATCATTATATGAAATGTTTAGATCGCCTGGGGAAGACGTTGCTCGAGGAACGACAAACCGGGAAAGGAATTGATCACGTTCTTGATAGTTGTCAACATCGCCCTGTGGACGGTGAACACTTTGGAGAAGTCTCGTGCGGGCGTGCGTCCGGATCACCTGAGATTCTTCGGTGTCTGGGCTTGGACGATCATCACCCACGTATCCATGCCGCTGGCCATATTCTATCGATTTCACTCGGCCATCTGTTTATTCGAAATATGGAAAACATGTTACAAATGTCGGTCGAACAGCACTGTTCAAACTCCCTACTGATTCGTCCTGTTTAAATGTCCCCGTAATCTGTACACGAATACGATACGAATAAATACACGTTGACCTGTTTCGAAACAAGGAGCCAAAGGCGAGAAAGGGGCAAACCCATCGATCTTCCCTTCAATTACCGATCTATTTTAACGCAGGAGAAAGAACGCGAAAGAGCGACAAGAAAGCGAGCGATCCTTGGCAAATAACAACGTTAACGTTGGCGTGGAAGGCGAAGTTGGTCGCAGTGTCTGCTACCTCGCCGCAACATGGAAACTTCTAAGCTGCCGGCAGAGACAAAGGGTAAAAGGGACGCTTCAAAGCGTCGTGGTGGACGGCGACGCGATGCCGTGGCCGTGTCGTCGAATCGATAAAGGTGCGTACTTTTATCGATGTACAGGGAAAAGATAGAAGAGGGGTAACGGCGATGGTGGTCGCCGACAGTTTGATACGGTTTACGGTAAACACATTTCGGTTGCAATCACATCACCGGCCAGGCAAGCCTCGCTGCAACGAGAAGTAGGTGATGCTTCGATGGTTGGAGAAAGCGAGCAAGCGAGCAGAGCGGTCGGTGAAGAGCTCTTAGCCAACCCTTTGTTGCTCCTGCCACCGCTATTGCGCCCCCTCGCCCGCTACCCCGCCACCCTAAACGGAGTGGAGGCTGTACTCTTGACCAAAGGCCTCTGATTTACTTAGCCTATCGAGTGCTCTCGGACTCGTCCACCAAGAATACCGTGCACACGGCTCCACCGTATACGTTGTGTTCCGAAATTTCCAACTTAATGCTCCACTTACTGTCCGTTCACCTTCCATGTCGAGATCTTGGAGTTTCATTGCGGGACATCGTGTAAATAAGTTTCACCGCGTGGGGAAAATTGGAACGCGATGAAACGACTACTTCATGGGTTCATTCTTTTTTTTCTATTTCATTTCAAGGATCACTCGATACCAAAATTACTGTTTGCAAATTTCACTGGTCTGGAATGCAAAGAACGCATGCATCTTTGACGAGAAAAATGAAAGGTAGAAGCGTCAGGAGTTTTATTTTTGTTAGGGATTTAACGAGGATTTACCGCTCCTAGTCCGTGGCTAGGCGAACCACTACTCGAGTAAAACCTGCGCAAGTAAAAAAGATCTGTCGAGAAAGAGAAATGCTAGATTGTCTGTTTCCGAGATAACCAAACCAGTTTGAATTTATTCGATAACCAATGAAACGAATACTTGAATATATTACGGGTAATCAAATTTAAAGCTGTTATAACTAATATAACGACGGTTTAGTGACGATAATAGTAATTATCAGCTTGAATCAACCACGCGGCGAAGATATTGATTAATATCGATGACGAGATTATTTATAGTCGGGATGCCTTGAAAGCGAAATAATCAAGGACTTATTCGCGTCCAACGTTGTTTCGTTGACAAAAAAATAGTACAAAGCTGTCCACTGGAAAATCTCGCAATTTATCGGGTTTACTTGCACATCCATCGTTTGCAACTCCCGTATGATTCCTCGACGGGGGAAGTAGCAGAAAAGGAGGAAAACGTGGCGCGACGACGAGGAAACGTTGATATATCCGCCAAACACAAGGAGCTAGAACGTCTGGGCGGATTTATCGGCGCTGGCGGATAATGGATGGTCCTCCCAGCATGGAAACTTTTTTAAATAATATAACGTGCAACTAGCAGAAGCACCTCGATTCCACGGCGATTTGAAATACGCTTATACCAGCTGCAAGGAAAGCCTCTCTCCCTTCGCACTTGCCGCAAATGCAACGGGAAAATAATCGTCCGTCGAAAGAAGCTGTAATAGTTTCTTCTCGTCGATCGCGAGGATGAAAACGTATCGATACGTGAAATCGTGCAGCGTTCGCAACAAAATTATCTCGTCGAGAGCGTAGCATAAAAGAGCCACGAAGGGTCAGCGGCGGTTCTCTTCCCGACCCAATTACACGGGGGTTTAATGAATTTTCGATATGCGTTACGGACATTGGCGTAACTACTTGAGGACCTATGTGGGCCTGGCGCCTAAAATATGAGACACAACGTGATGGACGTAGAACTCTCAGATTTTTAAATTTCTAAAACTTCTAATTTTCATGATTTTAAGTCTTAAATGTCTCAAAACTTAATCATATAGCAGATATTATTAATAAAGTCAGGGGACCCATTTCAAAGGTACCTCTAGGGTCGTAAAAACACTGAGTTGTTAAAGTCGTAAAAAAACTAAGAGTGCAAGTAAATAATTGGTTGTTAATAAGAGACCATAAGAAGAAACACAATGGACAAAAGTCAATGGAGTTTGTCGATTGGATGATCTTGGGGAATGTATTTAATTCGATTGGATTTTGCCGCCATCTGAACGAGACAAGTAGGGAGAGTGACTTTGGTTGCAAGGGTGAGGGAACCTCTGTTTCCGGCGGAAATGAGACCTTCGCGACTCGTACCCCCATCCCCTACCCCTTTTACCTCCACCTAAATACCCTCCCGAGCCTCCTTAACCTCCCTCGCCCCTCTATACTCGTTACCATAACCGAACTTTCCATCGCTTTATGTCTGGAGAATACGGGACTTATATTTCATTTTCCATTAGGTAAACATTTCGAACAAACCTGGAATACGTGTATCGCGCGAAATTTATTTTCTGAAAATCATTGAAATCCACCTGTCAGATTATGCACCCTCATCCCCTTCTGGTTCACTATCCGCCATCGTCCACGCCTCATATGCACCCGATCGCCTCTTTCAAATATTTAAATTATAAATATTTACCAATGCCTGGATTCGAGCCGGCGTTCGGGACGAATGCACGATTGGAAATAGCAGAAGAACTTGGACAGCGATATTATCATCGTCGCTCGTTTATTGCGATATATTGAAACGCGGAACGGTGTGCCCGGGAAATTAATATTTAAACAAATTCTATTTCTATGATATCGTGTTTTCTCTCATCAGGGCCGGGTTAATACGAAAAAAAGGAAAAAATGAGAGGGTGCGCAGGGAGAGAAAGGCAGAGGAGGAAAAATCGGAAAGATGGAAAGGCTTACTAATGCCCTCCCTCGTAGCTCTCGTGAATGTCGCTTGGTCTCCGAGGATGTAATTTTCGCTGTATGCCCGGATTAGAAGCCAGCTCGTCGGGCTCCACGTTATACAGCTTGATAAGTATTGCCTCGTGCCTCTTGAATACACTAGAACTGGAAAAGGGATTTGAGATGATCTCAAAGCGATCGATTGGCCTCGACGTGACGTCACGGGTCACGGCGATAGGCGGCTGTTGTGTCTCGTTAAGAATCCACGTACCATAATAGCGCGGATTAATGATAACAGCGTAAGGGTAGAACAGCCGTGTAGCTTGTTGGAACGTCAAAGCTATTATTACAATGCCTGCTGTTGCTCGGTAAGATTGATTTTACTTTGCGCTTTTAGAAAAAAAGAAAGTGTCACGACCTTCGCGAAGACCTAAATCTTGAGGGACCAATGTTACACCTTGTCTTTGTGCACCTTGTAAAACGATCGATAAAAGTAATTCTTTATTTTTATAAATGAATATTGCTGTCCCATTATGCGGTGAAAATCGATGTCTAAAATATAAAATTGCTGATAGAAAGAGTGGATTACGCGAGTTCGCCGTTCTCCGAAACAGGAAGGACAAAACTTTTGCTAGACGGTATTTCTTAAAATCTGGTAAGCGGATCATTGAAAGATCCCGTAAAAAAATCTTGCGGAAAAATGTATCGATATAGAATACTTACTGTAATGTTCAATTTTAAATAATGCCATAAAATGCTGAAAATAAAACTGAAGAATAGATACAAATACTGTAAGCTACTCCATGAATGTAATAGTTAAATCGAGACGAGGTAAAAGGGTTTTAAAAGGAAATATCGAATTTCAATAAAGAAACCAATATATAGATTATAATCTTCATTTATTTGAGCCCTTAAGACTAAAAATTACATTGTCATATAATGCATAACCGACAGAATAAGAAACTTTGTTAACCAGGTTTCACACCTGGTCTTCAGCTTAATGTATGTAGCAATATAAACATGATAATGCTCGTGCGATCATTTCAATCATTTTGTGTTCTGAAGCAGATCTTTTAACCATCACTTTCGAGTGACTGCTACAACACTTATAAATATGACACTAATTTATTTGAATTCATGTCAAAAATTGTTTTCTCATCTTTAATTCACACGTGGTTAAACTTGCGTCGGCTTTGGCATTCTGGATGGTTCTGATATCTGTGGCAATTGAACACATTCCGCTAATGACCGTATCTAAAACAAACAAGTAAGATTTGATGAATAAAATAATACATATAAAGCGAAGAGATGTTAAATCAACTACATGAAAATGTTTTGTGCTTCTTCTACCAACACACAAACAATTTTCAAAAGCTTTAAGAAGCCAGTAGTGTATTCTTGTATGTTGTAGATTGTACTTACTTCTGGAACTCCCACTCTCGATTGTCTAGTGGACATACTTGTCGAGTCTTCAACCAACGCGAGATGCAATGGAAATGGAATGCATGCTATGCGAAAAGAAATGTCAAAAAGTTTAAAGAAAAAAAGTTAAAATATATCACTTCCGCAATTGATACTAAATGTGTATGTAACAAAAACTATAATATTAAGATGCATACATTGCATACACCCCAAGCTACCGTACACTCTTCACTGGTGGCTGATGCTTGATTTGCTTGACATTCGATACAAAGATCCATGATATGATTACGACAGATCGCGCAATTATCTACTACAATATCTGTAAAATAACATATTCATAATCAATAAACAATCTCTTAAATGTAACACTATAAGTTTACTTCACAATTTAGTGAAAGTATATAACAGTATTAAGATTTTTAATAAATACCCCATGCCCAAAGAGCCACAGCATTCCACTGAAATAAAAACAAATTCAAATTATTGATTATGCGTTAAATATAAACCATGTGAGTACAGTAAATATGACAATGCAAAAATGAGGTTAGAATTTAACTGTTAAATCATTAAAATCGATAAAATCTGTACATGTTGCACGGAACACTCCTCTCAATTACTTATTTCACCTTTTTTACTTCAAAACGCTTTTTCTCCGCTTTACTACTACTCGAAGTAGGCAAATCGTTTTCTTCATCGTCGATCTCCATTGGTGACGCCATATTTAAATTTTGATGTTTAAAGCCAACTGACACCTTGTGTCAGAAATTCGAATCATGATAAACAGCTGGTACATAAAAACACATTTTCTAATTATTTAACTATTTTCTGCACATTGTAAATTGTTGTAATATAACAACAGTGGTATTGTAATTTCTTGTCAAAAAATGTTTGTAAATCAAAGTGCAGATTGTATAAAAAACTTACTTCTGTGTCAACTTGTAAATAGTAGGTTATGTTATCAGAAGAATTACTGATATTCGATGTAATATGACAGTTGTTTCTATCACTTAAAAATTGAGGCAAACTACTTTAATTTTGTGCAAATACTGTTTCCGATTATACTTTTTGTAATCTGTCGAACAACATAAAATATATTACACGATGAGACGAAAGGCAGGCGTTGGTGCTATTCAAAAACAAAAGCTGGAACAAGAAAAGTATAGAGATAAGGGAACAGAAATTCAGGAGAATCAATTTGAGCAAATGACAAAGCAAATGGAAACCTTTCGTGTCAATTTAGAAGAATTTGCAACAAAGCACAAAAACGAAATAAAAAAGAATGCACGATTCCGGCGACAATTTACCGAAATGTGTGCGTCAATAGGTGTGGATCCTTTGGCTTCAGGAAAAGGGTTCTGGTCTGTCCTTGGCATAGGAGATTTCTATTATGAACTAGCTGTACAAATTGTAGAAGTTTGCATGGCAACAAATTACAAGAATGGTGGACTGATTTCATTAGATGAACTTAGAACAAGATTAGTTCAAGCCAGAGGCCGTAGAAAAGAACATCAAGAAATAACAAATGAAGATCTACTAGCTGCTGCAAAGAAACTAAAAATTTTTGGAAATGGATTTTCCATTGTTCCAATTGGTAGAGGCAAACACTTGGTACAATCAGTCCCTGGTGAACTAAGTATGGATCATACTGCTGTGTTACAGCAAGCTAGTTTATCTGGAAATGCGCATATTTCAAAGTCAATGCTTTGCAAGGAGTTAAAGTGGGAAGCAGACCGTGCACAAAAAGCATTAGACCACATGGTGAAAGAAGGACTAGCATGGTTGGATGAACAAGGTGAAGATGAAACATTATATTGGTTTCCTAGTTTATTCACAGCTTGTATTGTATCCAAAGAGTAAGCGTTTAAATTTATTATATATAAATAAATATTTAAAGAACAAAGGATATATCTGTGGTATAAAATGTATTTTTAATGTGAATAAATTTATATATGTTATAATATTTACATTGATCATCATACACTGTGAAGTTTCTATGAATGAAAGAAAATATTGTCACCTAATTTCACTTGCTTCATTAAGCCTGAAAAAAGAATAATATATTAGTTACTATATACATAGTAGATAGTGAATACACACCTTTGTATGTCATGGACTGCATTTTGTGCCAACTGTTGCTTGCAAGTTAATAATTCAGTATATAATTCGTTATTTTCCTTTTGTAATGAATTTATTTTGCCTCTCAATTCCTTAGTTCTTCCTTGAAATTTAACTGTTAATGACTTTGCCTCATCTCTCCACTTTTTACTTAATTTCTGATGAACTTGAACATGTTGAATTAATTCCTTTGTTTTCCTATCAAACTTCTCCTGCAGTTTATTCATATGATCTGATAATACTGACTGACAGCAATTACATTTATTTTCTACCCTAAAATAAAATTTTGTATAGTACCATTTGTAATATTAGAAAGCTTATCGTACTTACGTTATATCAAAACGTTTGTTTTTGATATCATAAGCATCATCGGTAAGAGCGTCCCGCAATTTATTTTCCCTTACACTATTCGCTTTTTGAAGATTAACCTCTAATTCTCGAATTTTATTTTCGAGGGAATATCTTTCATTATCTCTTTTTTGTATTTCATAATCAAAATCTTGTTTCAGTGATTTTAATTGCGATACGAGATTTTCTTTATCACCTAAAGTTTTAGCTAACTGACTCTCCAAGTCAGAGTACTGTTTCATTATATCTCGATTTTCGCGATCGGCTCTTTTCACTTGATCTTCTATATTATTAGTTTGTTGTTGTTCTAATTTATACAGTTTACTATTTGAAGCATTTAATTGACTTTCAAGTGTAACAATTTTCTCTTTCAAGTGTTTCATTTCTACATCATATTTATTTTTACCTACTGCTTCATCATACACCTGTAATTGCAGTTCCAAACGCTTTGCTTTTTGTTCATAATCTAGTAACTTCGTATTTAAATCTTTTTGAACTCTAGCTAATTCATCCTCAGAAAATTTCAATTCTCTTTGTGCTTTCTCTGCTACCATTGTTTTTTCCTTCAATTCTGCTTTAAGTTCTTTAATTTCTGTTAAGTATCTCTTTGTGTTTAATTCAATTTCATCTTTAGTTTTCACATTCAGTTCCTGTATTTTGGTATCATATTCATTTGCTATTATATTTAGTCTATGTTCTAATCTAGCCTTTTCTTCCAAAATAAGAGCTTCACGGTGGAGCACCACATCTTTTTCTCTAACTGCAGACTCTATCAGTTCAATAGCTTCTGCCATCTTCTTCTTTGTTTCTTTATCTTTCTCTAGCACATTTTCTGCATATCTCTTAACTTCATGTAATTTTTTCTCCAATTCCATTTTTGTTTGTACCATTTTATTAGCTTCTGTTTTAGCATAAGCCAATTCTTGTTTCAATGTTTCTATAGTCACCTGATAATTCCTGTCTTTTAAAACATAAAAATAATGTCTCCAATTGTTACATTAAATTATAAATATATATTACTGACCTTTATCTTGGGTATCCTTTTGTAAACTTCTCAATTTTTCCAAGAGTTCATCTCTCTCTTTGGACAAATTCTCAATTTTTTCTTTGCTGGTTTGGTGCAGTGTTTGATATTTCATCATATTTTCTTTAGCCTGTGAGAGTTTCTCCTGCAACATTTTAATAGCTTCCGAATAACTTTCCTTGATTACATTCGCCTGTTCCTGATAAAATTTTGTCCCTTGTCCATCTGATCGAAATTTCTTCAATTCCTCTTCTAAGGCACTTATGGTATTCAAAGAAATATGCCATAATTGTAATGCTGAGCTCTTCTCTGTTTCCAAAAGTTCAATACGCTCTTGTAAATTAGTTACTTGCTTTTTATACAAATCTTGATTACTACATTCTTCTAAATGAATACGATTAATAGATTCTTTAATATCATCAGTCTTTTGGTTTTCATTCTTCAGAGTTTCCAGTTCTGTTCTTATAGTATTTTGTTGTACCTGAAAATAACAAACATATTTACAAACAAGTACAATTTTTATAAGTACATTCTGAAGATACCTTGCATAACTGCAAATCTCGTTTAAGGCCCTCCACGATTTCATGGTATTCTTTAATTATTATATCTCGCTTGTCACCTCTGTGAAAATAAATTGTTTAAATACACATAATAATAAAAATATAACAGTATAACCTAGAAACTGACCCTTGGATTTGAGTAACATCCTGCTCTATATCAAGCATTTTAAGTAATTCTAAGTAAACTTTGCAATATTATATTGAACTAACAAGCATTGTAAAAAAATATAATATATTTAATTTATGTTTGACATGTTTCAAGAGAAACATTCGACGCAGTCGTAAACATAAACATTGTTCCTTTTTATCGATTCTAGGCATTTGTGAAGAAAGTTTCACTGAATATCGTCGGATGGCGTTAGTGACATCATTTCAGAAACTGATTAAAAATTTAAAAAGCGCATAGCAATAATATTTGCACAACATTTTCAGCTTATTAAATCCGTTACCGTATAATAACAAGATTTCTCCTCTTATCACAGATTCAGAATTTCACTTGGCGCGATATAATTATCTGCGTTAATTTCAACATCATGTTTAATTAAACGCTCATGAAATATGTTGAAGTATAACGCATGAAGCGAAAGTAAATTGAAATAACCGAAGTGCAATGATGAACTTATACTAAATGTATTTAAAACCATAATATTTTGAAGGTAAAAAGAAATGCAGGAGATTCATTACGGATAAATGTTAAATTATATAAAAACGCAGAAATTTATTTATGATAAAGTTTGTATTAATTTAGCGAGCGTCTCTGTTAAATTGTTCAAAAAATTCTGCCGTCGGTTTGTTCTTGTAAATCTCTCGCTTGAGGTACTCCTGATAGGACTTGTGTTGCTCCGCAAGCTTCAGATTCTCTTCGGCGATCTGTTTGTTAATCTCCCTGAAACAGAACAACGTTGACACAAAACGTTGGCACGGTGAATCTTGGCTTAAAAACAGAAATTCTTACGCCTTCTTTCGATCCATCTCCCGTTGATACGCGTTCGCGAGTACCGCGTGCGAATTCATCAAACGATCCCACTCCTCGTTCATTCGCTTTTCTTCTAATTTCATTTTCTGAAAAGAGAAAAAGCTGGCCTTTTAGCGAGCCAAATTTTTCGTTTCTTTGGTCAAGACCCACTCCACCCGCAGTCACGACGATGCTTGGCATCGTTTCAAGCTTCGTTAAAAAGCGGTGCAAAACAACCTTCCTGTTCCTTTTACCTCGATTTCTTTCATCTGACGAGCTTGCTCCTCTCTGAAAACCCTAAGTTGGTCGGCAGTCATGCCCTTGTACCGCGATGCCAACGGTTTGTGAGGTCCACGAGTGCTCTCCGCCTGTTCTTTGGCTTCCGTCAGGAAGTCCCCAGTCACGTGATTGTAGATTTCCGCCTTCTTGTCCTCTTCGTCTCGAAGGGTTTCGCAATGGCGGCGCTGTTCCTGTTCCTCCGCCTGTAGGCGAGGGAAAACGGTCATTCGACCAAGACGCTCGTTCAACGAAGCGCGACAATTCGAAGGAGAGGATAAAAAAAGATCCTAAGGAGATCGTGTTATTGTCATTGACGTAGCTGGACGTCGTGCTGAACTTGGCTCATCTAAATATGGAATGACCCTACGATACACAGAAAATTGCCATACATAATTCAGAAATTTCCAAGGTCTTCCTCATTTTTAATTTATTACTTTCAAATTAAATAAATAAATTAAAATAAATTAAAATTAATTTTTGATAATCTGCATAATTTCTATAGGTCTCGTGTTTAGTATGTTCCTGCTAATCCAGACGAAAATTCTAGTTACGCCAATGCTTATCGCCGAGACCCATGCTCGATGACGTCACCGAGTTTGCTCATCGACAATAGTAACCTCGTGATGGCTGTAAACGGTGCTCACCTTCGAGGAAGGTTTACGTTCAACGCGGTCCACGCTCGCCTCGAATACGAGGAGGATTTTACGCCTCGAGCGATGCACTCGGGAATTCATCGTCGATCAGAGAGAAACAGACGGGATCTCGGCGCACCGTTGAACCCTGACATTTCACGGTTCGTCGTTGATCGTCCGCGAGAGCGAGCAACAAAAGGGGAACTTTAAATCAATTAATGCGATGGAGTGCCATCGAGCGTTAATTATCCAAGTTCTCACTTTCTCGCGAGTCCACGGTTAACTAGAACAGATCGACCGGATCTCCAGCCGAGCCTCAACAAGATTCGATCTAACCCGGAGGGAAATAGAATTGTCAGATAATAAGATCTCTATCGTTTTCTTGCAGTTCCTGTCGCTTTGTTCCCCCCGCTGTTTGGCCGAAGGACTAAATAGGAGAAAGCCTTACCAAAGCTCGATTAAATCGTGCGGTAGCTTCGTTCAACCTTCGACGGCATTCTCGTTCCATCTGATCTAAGGCCATGGCACGTTTGTCCCTGGAGATGACGGCTTCCTGGTACGCTTTCTCGGCTTCCTGTCGTTCTCGCTCGGCCTGCACGCGTTCGCCCTTTTGCTTCTCGATCCACCATCTCATCTCATCTTTTTGCGCCTTCGAGTGCTCTTTCGGCATCTCCTCTCCTTCGAACCTGCACAATTCAACATTTACATGTCCCATCAATGTTTTTTAGTACTCAACATTGTTCAGTACTGTTCCTGATTGTGTCAGTACTCATCAAAGTTCTTTAGCACTGTTCCTTGTGTCAGTACTCATCAACGTTGTTCAATACTGTTCCTAGTATCAGTACTCATAATTCCCAATTCCTTTGTATAAAATAAAACCCAATTGTTACATTATCCATCCACCGTTTACTCCAAATTATAAATCACTCGTGATTAAACAGTCTACTCCGATTCGTCAGAAAGAGATATTTACTTCTTAAACCCGAAGCCATCTTTCGAAGATTTCTTCAGAGCATTCGGATCATACAGGTCATAATCTCGACGCAGTTCGGCACGCTGATATTGTTGTCTGAAATGCTCGATTTCCTTGTGTATTTTCCGCCTCTCCTGGAAAATAAACGCAACAAGTACAATGTGCTAGTTTCGAGCAATATCGCAAGGCAAAAAGCGTCCGAAGAGTTAACGACGATAAAGTGAACGAGCATGGGAATCTTTAACGATGACACTGTACGACAATTAATCATCGAACCGCTGGTTTTTTCCCAGTATAATTGACAGTTTACCTCTTCTTGTTGTTTCTCTAGCAATATGGCAATCTTGCTACTGCGAATCAGACCCTCGTCAAGCTCGGATTCCTTAGCCTGTTCTAATTCTTGCTGTTGCTTCTTTTCTGCGACTTGTTTGTCCAGGTATTCTTTATCTATCTGCGGGATGAAATAAATTACTTTTTTGAAAGGGATAGAAATTTTAAGAAAAATTTAATGAGAGGTTAATATAAGTACCTGTTTGATCAAGGATCAATTAAAGGTCTAAGCTTAACGGTTTAGGAAGTTTAACTTTATTTAATACAATCATATTAGTCATTTAAGAGGAAAGAAATTTATAAATTGTCAGTTCGTAAATTTTCAAGTTCTTAAATTTCCAAAAGTTGTTTTATTCTATCTGGTATGAGATGGTGATGTTAGAAGTGGTTCTCAGATAATCGAATAATTGCCTCAAAGATAACCTATGTCTTTCATCGAACTCACCCCTATTTTCCTGAACCTAGGATTAAATATGCGTTGTTTTCGTTCATAATCCGTCTGTTGCCTGCGTTGTATGGCCGCGGCGAGCTTCAACTCCTCCTTGGTCGCGGTCTGGAACTTCAACATCGTGCCAAATTCGATCCAACCGAAGACGAAGGTAACCAGAGCTCGAATGAGCTTAGCCACGAAAGCCACAAGAATCGCGTGGAATTCGTTACCATGGCGCGTTTGGGCAATAAACACGAGGACGAATCGTGAAATTCGAATGCTTTATTTTACATCGTAACACGAGTAACATCACACGTACATTAAAAAACCTAATCAAAGTTATTCTACAACCTGATGATTTTGTACCATGCTTACGAAACGCGATCGTGTCTTGAGATAACCTTAATTAGATTCCAGAAGGTACAATGAGCGATTCTTGGAAAACGTCCAAAATCGTTCAACGAATGTGTGATGGTTTTTATCGAAACGTATGAACGATGACAACATTATTTTGACACACGTATATTCGACTGCTAATTATTCAGCTGGCGAAGACATTTGCACGAAACAGTCACGTGAAAAGCGAGCTATTGAACGGGTAAACATATGTTGCACTATCTGTTGATTCGGCGAAAGTCATTACCGATGACTCGTGTTGTTGTATTATCGCGCCGCGTGTATTGATCGTTGTTACTCATGTATGTGATTGCTGACCAGCGATGGATCATTAAACAAAACTTTGAGCATGAACATCACTTTCGATCTTCCTAACATTCAGAATTAAAAAATTGCAAAATTCTAAAATATCAAACTGAGACAGATGTAGGTGTACACAAACAAGATGGCCGCAGGGAAACGAACGCGAGAAAAGTGTTAACCCTTTGCGCTCGAGAGGCTCCTCTCAGGCACCATTCAATTTAATACAATAATTTGAAATAAGCATTATTTAATTCTATAATAATGCTACATATAAACAGAGTGAAATAGACAATAGTGGAAATTATTAATAGAGAAATAATAACCGCAAAAGAACTCATTTAACATTTTAATTAATATTTTAAAGTCGCTGTTTGTAAACAATAAAATTATCTTCGAGTGCAAAGGGTTAAAATTACAACAGGCTAAAATTGTTCCAAACTCCCAAAGTCCCACAGCGTTTCAAGAAACAGAATTTTAATTCATTTATACATAAAATGTTTGAAATGTGTCTTTAAAGGGTTGGCATACAAATCCGAGAATAAATTTCATTTTCTGAAGACTTCTTTGTACCGAGTTCGCGTGAGTCAGACCATATGCATGGACTCTTCGTTTTTCTAACAATGGGAACACAGTAATGAGAGCAGCAGTTCTGGCACACGTATGCACGTACACGCGTACGTGGAAGCCACGAAACGTGACGGTTTATTAAATATTCCGGGATTAAGACGTTTACGCGAATCACAAGAGGCTCGAATAAATCGTCGCGAGAGGCAAAGCCGCTTTGCTTACGGCTTTCAGCTGCTCGATGAAAAGAATATTGCACGCCGCTCGTGTGTACCGGATAGATATCAAGGAAGCGATCGTCTCGCTTCCTCGTTTATTGATCCAACGAGAGCAATTTGTGTCATTTAGTTCGTACGGAGATTTAGCTCTGACACTGCGTGAAAGTGCAACAAGAAAAACGACGTCGTGCAAAGAGATTTCACTGATCCTTGATTACGATGACGAGGTCATTAGGAAAACTGGATCTTTTATTGCTGATTCTTTTTTCCTTAATTACTATCCGCCGTTTACGATGTTACGCAAAAACGTATTCGATGATTAACTCTTGATCTTTCGACTCCTCGATTACTCTTTCCCGTCTGCGTCATCGTACATCACAGCGCGACAGCTTCGGAACAATGCGCGGTCACATCGCGATGTTCTTCATTTTTCAGTAGGTCACCTTATCGGTGGACAGTAGCGCGAATGTCGTACTGAATTTACAGTTAGCGATGACACCTAATTGTTCTTTACCTAACAAGGATACGCGTACTTGCCGTAACCTATATTCGTCGCATCTGACCATATGGTGGACGATTGCGAGCTGCACGCGAATAATTGTCTTATGGCCATTGGCGTACCTAGGGAACTTTTTAATTTCCGATACTATGAAACTTTGGATTTTGTAAATTTATAAATTTGAAAATTTAGCTACTTGTACGTGAATGCTTGATTGATTAATTTTATATGGGCCTCAACTGCTGTGATCATTGGCCCAATTGTACTTGAATATATAATTTGCATTTGACTAGTAGGAAAAATTTATTTACAAATTTCTCAATTTGAAAACTTCCATTTTCCTATCTTATACTACTCAAGGAAAACCAGTTCATATTTTACAGCACGACTACCGTAATCCATGCTTAATTGTGCCAGCGCTATGAGACAGTAAAAGTGACAAATCGAACTAAAAAATATATTTCCATACAAAGTAGCGAACCATTTGATTAGATTGCAGTTCTGTTAATTAAACCTCGCACTTCTTCCTTCCATATAAGATAACGATGCTCCCGTATCTGTTTACGTAATTATTACGAATTTCAGGAAAAAATAGACTCCTTTACTTTTCCGTTTCCAGAATGCGAAACTCGGAATGTAAATTGACACATAACATTTACATGTACCGAGTAAATGCGCTGGTATGGCAAGAAACGGCTTCTATCCATAAATAAGTTTCTTTTTTAAAGTAGATTTCTTTTGGTATGCACTGCCTTATTTAAAGTCTAACAAATATAACTACGGCTTAACAGGTGAGTGTAAAGAAAGATTCCTAGAAACATAGTCGCAATGTCGCGATCTATTAAATCCAACACAATTTTAACAAAACAGTTTATTGTATCGTAAACAATACTTATAATTTTAAATTAGAACAAACATTGGTATTGTTTACCGGTAACAAACTCTTTAATTATTCATACTGATTTTTTTAAAAATTATCATTAAACAAATGCAAATCTTATGTAACCTTTCATACAATTCTTAATCTTCAAACTTTTTCTGCACAAAATGAACTGTTATTGAGATTAGTTGAAACTTTCAAAGTTCATTAAATTAATATTTAACTTTTCAACTACGCTCTTTAAACGAATAACAAGTTCGTATATAAAAGATGATGCCATCTTCGTGGAAGACGAAACGCAGTAGAATTCAAGCTTAAAAAGATAGCGATAATTTCGATAACGAAATTTCGTTTTCGATCGCGAGGAATATTTGCAAAAGTTCAAAGGATCCTAACGCATGTCCGAGAAAAGATTAATCAGCGCGGGTCGCGAAATTTTCGAGGGAGTTAAAAGGAAGTCGCGCTAGGATTCGCGGAAAAACAAATTCCAGGTTTTCGCGGTGGCCAACACGGTCGACCCAGAGAGAAGATGCCCCGAAGCGCAGCGAGACTCGACGGCGCCTGCGTGGCCATGTGACGTCATTGGCGAACCGGGCAGCTCGTCCGCTAGACATTCAGTCTCGCCTCAGCATCGAACGAGGTTGTACGTATTTACGGTGCGCACGTAACCCGACAAAGTATCACGGAAGTAAAGTACCAGTAATACCCGATAGTCGTCGCGCTTAACGTTACATAAACTCGTAGAACGAAAACGAGATCGCGTGACTTCTCGATCCAAGCAGGCATCGTTCACGCTACAGTGTCCGACGTTTGCTCGTCGATCATCGCGAGAAAAACTCGCCTACAAAGTGCATACACAACAACAACAACATCGGACAAAAACGGAAGAGATTTCGATTAGTTCTCTTTCGGTCTTTCGCTATCGTTGAAACGCGCGATTAGTACGCGATACGCGCGCCTTCTTTTCTCCCTCGCGTTCGCGAAATCGTAACTCGTCCACGATAACCCTCGTACCGTTCCAATTAACGCCTCAGTGATAAACACGTGCCGACGAGTGTACGACCCGAAGGGGGACAAGCGTTTCTTGAGGCAGACGATGCTCCGATACTGTTCGATAAACGAGTTCTGATCAGAGGGCACACGAACGGGCATCCTCGCGCAGAGTCGCGTTCGCGTAGGGTACATGCAACGTCCGAGTGCGTCGCTTGGTCGTTTCCCCTACTATGCACACTGAGAGGTACCCGACTACTATGAGAGAATGAGCTGCTCGGTGAAGATCTCGTGTGGCAAGAGTTGGAGCGGTTCGCAGCGAAGGATCAACTCGCTCGCGGAGGAGAATACTTGCCCTACGACTGGAAGCGCGAGTTGTGCCGGCCTAGCGGCCCAGTCGGCCGCCGCCGTAGCGTCGACGTCGACGTCGACCACGGCCACCACGACCACGCCGACGACCACCACCACGAACACCGTCACCGGCACCGCCACCACCGCCAGCCAAAGGATTGGACAGCTGCGTCCCGTCAAATCTATCACCGCTAAAAAAGGGGAGGATATCACGAAACTGCTCAAGTACATCGACGATAACGTCATCGGCAAGAACGGCACGTTCTTCGGACCATTTGGCCGCAGGAAAGGTCAGTGATCAATATAGTCTTCACCCCTAGCTGCCCCTTTCTCCCTCCCTCGTTTGCCCGCCCCTCCTGCGCCGCTCGCACTGCTCGCTCTTCTCTTCCAATGGCACGAAACAAAGAGACGCGTCTGGCTGGGCCCATCGAGATCTCGTTCCACTCGTCAGCGTTGCTCGATTAACGCGATGCACGAGTTGTACCGTATCGATAAAATCGAAGGTTCTCGCAGCTTCGACGGGTGGATGCTCTCCGAGGGAGTAGGCGCTCTAATTGGAGCGCTCCCTTTGCTCTGCTATAGATACATTTATGCGCTTCGACGTTTCGCGAAGACTTACAAAATTATATTCGAAAGATTTAAGAACATAAAAATGCTTAAATTTTGAAGATTCGTAAGCGTGGACTGTACATGAACGAAGTACATCTAGTCGAGCAGGTTTTTCTAGAATCCGCGTTGGATGCGTTGCGGTTTTTGCGGGTGCTTCTGCCCAGTCTTTCGCTATGCACCAGCCCATGGGACGCCTTACAAGTGCACTTGGCATATACCTTTCGTAACACGATACTTTCGGAGCAGCGCGGGGAAACCTCTCGCGTGTGCTCCGAGTGTATCTTCAATTAAGAGCATAGGAGATTCGCGTTGATCCAATCGATATCGCGAAACGAACGGTCGCTTAGCGTCGCGTGCGCATATTATCCCGACGAGAGGTGATCTCGTCGAATAAGCAAACGAACGTTCGATAGCGTACGACGCTTGCATAATTAATTTGCTCGGAGTATTTTGCTTGCGCGGCGGTGCGGCGATAGAGCGAGGGACGTTGATAACATAAGCGCTCGCTCGTCAACGTAAACATCGCTACGAGAACTCGCGCGGTGCCGTCTATTAAATATTCAGAGGCACGAGCGAATGTTTGCGAGTCGTATTATTTAAGTGTCGTTGGCCTACGGTCACCCTGAAGGCCACCCATTTTCCTTTGGCCCCGGCGAAATCTCGATCGCTCTCGATCTCTATCTTGGTCTCGAATGGCGCCAACTACTGCCGGAAGTTTGGCCGGCTCGTCGGAGCCACTTTCTTCCGGGCGACTTCGCGCGACATCGCGCGTCGCTCGAGCGAGTTAAACGGCCTGGCCCGAGGGCTCGGCTTGTCGGGACAGAGACAGAGATGATGCTAGCGCACTCCGGGATCTCGTGCCACGGAACTTCCTGACCACTGCCCACGGCGGGCCACGTGCGATGCAAATAAATTGCCAACGCCGTCCATTTAAACGCTTCCATTAGCGACCGCTCTTCGTTCAATTACGCGATCCTGTTCTCAATTTAATTCGCTTCGAGGAACGCCCTGCTCGCGATTCGACTCCGAGTGGGCTCTCAGGTGATAGATGCTTTGCGATAGCCGTGGAACGCTAGAGTAAACAGATAAACGCTTTCGCAATTGCTTAAAAAACCGTTTAGATCGTTCGAGATTCCCTTATTGCTTTTATACGGTATTTTAACCCTTATCGTTGGCGTAAATAAGCTGGGGTGAACTTTATATCCTCATTCTCCTCGGATAAACCGCGCTCGATATTGTACACGGAGTTACGACGATTTCTACCATAAACAAAAGTCATGGCTACTCTTCTTAACGTTAACCCCTTGCACTATGACTTATTTCTCAGGCGTGTCAGTCAGGACTTACTATTTGTAGCTACAATATTAAAACAGACAAAAAGAATTGAAATGTTATGTCAGTGTGTTATTATTCAATCGTTGACTATGCAAATTATAATTGAACTCCAAATTGAAACGTATTAAACGTTTGAGTAAAATTGATCACAGCTGAAGTACAAGTGCGTCACGAATCAGACTCGTCAAAATAATGCAAGGGGTTAATTTTGAAATTATATTCTGATTTAATTATTAAATTAATTTCATCACATTGAGTACGTAAGTACTCTCAGAATCGTTACTATAGAATATAAAAGTGGACGTAGTAAAGTCGTAACTCTGCAAATATTTTAATCATCCGCTTCACCTTCCTGTTGACAAGATCTATGAAAGCAAACGCAGTTGTCTATTGCACGTAACTCTTAAATCAGGATATGACACAGCTATGAAGGCTACTTAAGCTGACATTCTAAAAAACAGATGACCTTCGATTTGACGTTCGTAGAAGCATCTCATGGCCGAAGATTCACGAACCTCCCTCTTCCGGTGAATCGGAAACTATTCGCGTCCATGTACGAAAATATCGATGCCACTAATAGAACTCGTAATTTGGCAAACAATTATCTTCCCGTACGGACGTCAGCGCGGCTGATGGTCTCTCTCCATTCGTTCCCGACTGCCATTATTAACGCTAATACTCACGAGCGAGAACGAGACACGTGATTCATTGAATGGCCGAAAAAAAGTCCGACGAGCGAGTAGCGGGCCGGCAGTCGAAAAACAAGTTTTTCGTCCACGAGTCGACGGACACGGGCCAGATGTGTCAGTCGACCAATTTGCCGATGCACCCGGTGATTCGTTCCGAGAACGGAGCAAGGCCATCTCGAAAGGAAGAAAAATTACGCGAAAATTGCTTGTACAGGTTAACGGAAAGAAGTTAGATGACTCATCGCAAGGAATTATACTCGCATAGGTCTGATAACGCGAGGTGCATACTACTATCTTGAAATATAGTCAATAACTTGTATACCTATCGAAAGAAAACGAAAGTCTATTGGACGTAGAGTTAACAGCGATGTTGTCATCGCTCGGATATAGCCACGTGGATGGACAGTTTCGTCAAGTGCAAGGTCAACAGCTGGAGCTCTTGCTCCGCTTGACCCGCACGATATCTCCTGGTCACTCACATCATGAATTCAATTCTTTACTTGTCAAAATGTTTGTGGATTTGTTGGGTTTTGAGATTTGAGGATTTGGAGATTTGGGAGTTTGGGACTCTGGAAAGGTGGGACTTTGGAAATTTGGGGATTTGGAGATGTGGGATGTGGAAAGTTGGGATTTGGGGATTTGGGGTTCTGGGAAATTGGGAATTTGGAGATGGGATTAGGAGATCTGGGAAGTTGGGATTTGGGGATTAGGAGATCTGGGAGTTGGGATTTGGGGATTTGGAAATTTGGGGTTCTGGGAAATTGGGAATTTGGAGATGGAATTAGGAGATTTGGGAGTTGGGATTTGGGGATTTGGAAATTTGAGGTTCTGGGAAATTGGGAATTTGGAGATGGGATTAGGAGATTTGGAGAGTTGGGATTTGAGGATTAGGAAAGCTGGGGAGTTGAGATTTGGGGATTTGGAAATTTGGAGATTTGGAAATTTGGAGATTTGGAAATTTGGAGATTTGGAAATTTGGGGTTTTGGGAAATTGGGAATTTGGAGATGGGATCAGGAGATCTGGGAAGTTGGGATTTCAGGATTAGGAGAGCTGGGGAATTGAGATTTGGAGATTTGGAAATTTGGGAATCTGGGAAATTGGGAATTTAAAGATGGGATTAGATCTGGGAAGTTGGGATTTGGGGATTAGGAGAGTTGAAGAGTTGGGATTTGGGGATTTGGAAATTTAGAACTCTGGGAAATTGGGACTTTGGAAATTTAGGAATTTGGAGATGTGGGATGTGGTGATATGGGACTTGAGGATTTAGGAATTTGGAAATTTTAGACTCTAGGAAATTGAGACTTTGGAAATTTAGGAATTTAAGGATGTGGAATGTGGTATTTGGAGCTGGAGATTTGAGGATTTGGAAATTTGGGACTCTGGGAAATTGGGACTTTGGAAATTTAGGAATTTAAGGATGTGGAATGTGGAAATTTGGGAATGTGGTATGTAGATCTAGAGATTTGAGGATTTCGAAATTTGAATCTTTACAAATATTGGACTTTGGAAATTTAGGAATTCGGGGATCTAAAGATTTGGTGATGGAATTTGAGAACTTGAGGACTTAAAGCTTGTTATTTTAAGTATTTGAAACCACAGGAATTTGGGTGTTTATAGTTTGATCATCTGAGCCTCCAGAGATTTGGAACCTTGAGCACATATATATTTAAGAATTAAAAAGTCCAGAAATATGAAGCAATGAAAACTTAGAAATCTGCAAACCTGCATAGAAGTTTACCTATCCACCAATTCGACAATTTGAAGAAAATGTCAGAATTTAGTTTGGAACAAAATTTTTGAAAGAACATTACGCAGTCAGCTTTCGCGATCAGTTTGTTTTTGCGCATCAAAGCGAAGTTTCTGTTTATATTCCTTGCGCGACAGCGTATCGCGAGCGAACGTTCCGATAAGATAATTCTTGGAGCAAATTCCGACGTTATGGCCGCCTAAATTCACTTTCGCCTCGTGGTATTTTCGAATCAACCTGAGATCGTTCATCGTGCAAAAGCGTTCGCGTACGACCCAGTTCGTTCCACGTACCGACACCTCGTCGACCCAATTCCTAAGCCCGTCCGACATAATAGCGGAGCAACGCCCATGAGCGTCCCGGTCGTAGGTCGTTGACGACGAGATTAAATGAAAGGCGAGCGTTGTGTCGGTAAACAACGCGCAACGTTTAAACGTTAAAGAGTTAACTTTGTTCGAAAGTTTGTGAAATCGTCTTATCTAACAGATGCTCGCTTGAAATTTTAGACGAATGATAATTATTCATAACGAATGGCAATGTCATCGAATAAATTTGTGACGATGACATGGCTGATCCGTGTATGGAAACGTTTACCCGTGGAACGCGCTTTTGTTGTATTATTTTGGAGGACGTAGGATTATTTCCAAGGACGTAGGACCTGACAGGGTTTGATTTAGGTTAGCTTTGATGAAGGACTGATCATTTTTCATGTATTTTGGACGATGTATAAAAACTTTGTGAACGTAAATCCAATCTAGTAAAAATTTGAAGAAAATTCTATTTGATTAAAGGTTTGATTTTTTAATTGCGAATAGACTTTATAGAACTGTAGGTAATATCAAATATATTTAACGATCTATTGTACTGTGACCTTGAAATGACCTTCAGCACTAAACAACAGAGCTTTAA